TTGCTGCTGCTGCTGCTGCTGCTTTTGTTGTTGCTGATGCAGCTGTTGTTGCTGCTGCTGCAGGTGCTGGCACTGTCCTCGTTGCTGCTGCTGCTGCTGTAAACAGCGACTGCTGCTCCCTGCAGCAACTGCTGCTGGCGGCATGTCGGTGCAGCAGCAGCAGCAGCAGCAGCAGCAGCAGCAGGAGGGGCAGATCAGCGACTGTTGCTGCCGCTGCAGCAGCAGCTGCAGCAGCAGCAGCTGCAGCAGCAGCAAAGGGCCCCTTCTGTCTCCCAATGCAGCTTCAATACTAAAAAGAGGGCCATCAAAGAGGAGACAAAGACAGCAGCAGAAGACACGGAGACACCGCAGCAGCAGCAGCAGCAGCAGCAGCAGCAGCAGCAGAACAGCAGCAGCAGCAACAGCAGCAGCACAGAGACTGAAGAGGAGCAGCTAGAAAGGAGGGTGCCAGCAGACAAGGATTATGGCTCCTTAGATCACCGCTGGGGGTTACTGCTGCTGCTGCTGCTGCTGCTGCTGCAGCTGCTGCTGCTGCTGCTGCTGCTGTTGCTGCTAGGGAAGCAGCTAAGGTTGGGGTGTATGTACACCTCAGTCTTGGCGCTGCAGCAGAGACAGCTGGGGGGATATGAGAGGAGACAGCAGGGAGAAGCCTCGGGAGTCTGCTGCTGCTGCTGCTGCTGCTGCTGCTGCTGCTGCTGCTGCTGCTGCTGTGGCTACCTAGTACTTAGAGGAGGAGAGGCTGCGGTTAGGCCGCTGCAGCAGAGACAGGCGAAATATAACAAAACAAAAAAAACAGCAATTTGCTGCTGCTGCTGCTGCTGCTGCTGCTGCTGCTGGGCCCTCAGGCAACACCACAACCCCACCAGGCAGCAGCAGCAGCAGCAGCAGCAGCAGCAGCAGCGGCGGTGGCGGGTGTTGCTACGCGAGCAGCAGCAGCGTGTCTATGCAGTAACAATATAATATATTTTGTTTTTTTTGTTTATATAAATAAAATTATTATTATTTATATTAATATAAAT